ACAAAAAAAAAAAAAAAAAAGAGAGAGAGAGAGAGAGAGAGAGAGAGGAGAGAGAGACTATCGCTACAGGGTGTGTAGTATAATCACTGAAAGACAGAAACAGAGACAGAAAGTGAGAAATCACCCGCCCAGGGAGATGGCCACACCACAATCCCTTCTCCATTTTCCTCTTGGGCATGCGTGCACACACACACGCCCAGTGTGAGTTTTAAGTTGCTGGGTCCGGGACTCAAACCATAGTCAACTATGTGGGAGTCCAGCGACATGACCACTACGCCATTTGCTGATCCCTCAGAACTCTTTTTATGTCATCTCTTAAAAAGGACATTTAACTGTCAGAAGAGTTAAGCGGCTGAAATAGTGTGAACACTGAATCAAAGAACCAAGTAAATATGAAGGAAATGTTTATGGCATTCATAACCTTATATCTGCCCTACTGCGTACAAAGTCCTCTTCTAGAACCTGCTGACTCTGCTTTTGCACCTGCTCCTTTTTTTTTTTTGTATAAAACATTTAATTTATTGAACTTTTTGGGTACTTTGATAAATCATCACTGCATTACAACTGAGCCATTAATCTTGTACCTTCATCAACGTTAACAGGTTCATTTTCAAGACGCTGCTGAGGAACCAGATCTTTCTGCAGAGGTTCAAGAGAAAGGCCTCTTGAAAAGTGTGCAAGTTCTTTTTGTATGTTTACAAAAGTTTTATTCACTCTGTTAACTTTTTCATCATTCACAATGTTTATCTTCTTAAGATTTGCAGTAACTGGTTTTGCTTTGTTTTTAGCATTGAAGATTTTCTTGGCTGGCTATGTAAAATACGTTCCTGTACTACTGACCTCTACATTTGTTCTTGGCCATTGTCAGACCTCAGACACCTGCGTGCAGCAACTCAAGCTCCAGGTAACACCAACTGCACACACACGGTCCTACACCTGCTCTTAATAATAAGTTATGAAACAATTTTCATGTGTATATTTCTCTTTCAAAGAATTCAGAATAGTTTTCAAATACACTTACTGACTAAAATGATTTCTGAGTAATAACTGTATTAGGTACACACTCAGAATACACTGCTCTTGAAAAGGTCAAGCCCACCGTACCATCTGAGTATTGCAGAATAGGGATGGTGAGAATAAAATCATTTCCATGGCCACCGTCATTACTGTCAAAATCATATGTTTGCAAGGATTTTAAAATTCAGTTTATCTCCGTTGATCCTGACAGCTGAGTACATGGTCATTAACTCCATTTTACAGGTAAAAAAGCAGAAGTTCGGAGACGATAAGAGACTTGCTCTTGACAGGTAAAGGACAGCTCTAGGAATCAAACCCCACCTGGCTCCAAGATGAGTGCTCACCTTGCAGCACAAAGCTTCTCAGTGGTAAGAAAGGTGAACTGCAGAAAGTCAGGATCATTGTGTGGTGAGTTAGAGCTACTGAGATATTCCAAGTTGAGGGCCTAAACTGTATCTCAGGCAGCTGCATCCTGATTATTTCCACCGGATGTCTTCTAAGTATCTTGAAGTTAACATGGCGAAACAGAACTACTGATTTATCCCCCGAATCTGTTCTTCCCTAGACGTTTTATCTCAGTAAAATGGCATCAGCATATTCATCCAGTTGATGAAGCCAAAAAACTGCAAATGAATGATCCTAATTTCTTTTCTCTTAATTCCTATTTTCTTAATTTCTACATTCTACCAACTCTGCCTCCAAAGCATAGTCTGGATCTCCACTTCTTTCTTTTTCTCTCTCTCATTTTATTTTTTTGGAGAGGTTTTTGCTATAGGGCGCGTGCGCTCGCCAGACAGTGACAGAGAGACAGAAAGCAAGAAATCACCCCCAGGGGGGATGGTCACGCCACAATCCCTTCTCCTCTGTTCTCCTCTTGGGATCTTGGGCACGCACGCACACGCGTCCAGCGTGAGTTTTAAGCCACTGGGTCCAGGACTTGAACCGCGGTCGACTATGTGGGAGTCCAGCGACATAGCCATTACGCTAACTGCTGGTCCCTCTCTTTTTTTTAATTTTAGGTTTGCCACAGGGTGCATGCACTTGCTGGAGACAGAGAGAGGGAAAGTGAGAAATCATCCCCCAGGTGCCATAATCCCTTCTCTACCATTCTCCTCATGGGATCTTGGGCTCACAAGCACATATACCCATTGTGATTTTCTTTTCTTTTTTTGCTATAGGTGTGCATGCTCACTGGAGAGACAGAGATAGAGAAACAATGGGTCACACCACAATCCCTTCTCCTCCCCTCTCCTCTTGGGATTGTGGGTATGCACACTCACACACCTGGTGTGAGTTTCAAGCTACTGGGTTTGGGACTCGAACCACGGTTAGTCATGTGGGAGTTCAGTGACACACCCACTACACCATTTGCTGTCTCCCCCCACTCCCAGTATGATTTTCAAGCCGCCAAGTCTGGGACTCAAATTATAGTAGACCATAGAGGAGTCCAGTGCCTTATTAACCACCATGCCATCTGCTGGCCCCAGAGTAACCTTTTAAGGACACACACCTGGTACCAGCAGTTGGCGTAATGGCTATGCCACTGGATTCCCAAGTAGTCGACTGCGGTTCGAGTCCCAGACCTGGTGGCTTAAACTAATGCCGGGTGCGTGTGCAAGTGTGCCCAAGATCCCGAGAAGAGAATGGAGAAGAAGGGATTGCGATGTGGCCATCTCCCACGGGGGGGGCGGGGAGGGTGATTTCTTGCTTTTCTGTCTTTCTGTCTCTTTCTGCCTTTCTGGTGAGTGCACGTGCCCTACAGCAAAAACCTCTCCAAAAAAAGAACACATACCTAACCCCACTCAAGTCCTCCAGTGACTTCCCACTACACACTGGTCCTGTGTGATCCTGCCTCGATCTCCTCCTAGCTGGCTGCCTCAGCCTAAAGCATGTCCAGTTCTTTCTCACTTTGAAGTTGTTTTCATTTTGGCAATTTTATTGAACTATAATTCACACAACATAAAGCTCACTTCTCTTTAAAAAATGTATTACTATTTTTAGAGACAGAGCTGCTATGTTGCCCATGCTGATTTCAAACTCATGATCCTTCTGCCTCTGCCTCCCTACTAGTTTGGATTACAAGCACATGCCACTGCACCCGGCTCATCTTTTTAAGGCATGTGATTCAGTGGTATTTAGTATGACAGGTTCACAGAGTGCCACTAGTTTTGAGGAACGTGAGCAGAATTTTGTATTTTTTCATTTCCTGCATTTGAAGTACTCTTTGATGACATCCTTGACCTGAGATTCTTTGCCATAGGCCTTAACCACAACACAGTTGCAACCAACCACTTGACACAGTTTCTCCTCTGCCAGTTTTACCAAGACCT